ATGATTAAAATATTAAAGTTTCATTTACAGATTTTATTGTTCCTCATTTTTTACATATTTGCATAATTTTTTTCGGTCTAAGATCACGTTCCCACCACATCTGACTGATTTCACTGGCTGTGCTGAAGAAAGGCCTCCCCACAGCATGCCACTGCCACTACTGTGGGGATGGATCATTAGATCACAGCACATTTCATCTGGATCAGAAATTTCCCTGACAGGTTTTGATTGCAGTGAAAATGGAGCAAGAGCTCCTTCAGTTTCTCTTAAAGACGGATTAAATGTGTAAAATGTTTATTTGTCTGTTTATCCGTGGAGACGGATTCTCTCTGAACATCTATTCTACACGCAGCGGCTCTAAACCCGCGGCTTTTTTCTGCTGTGTGTTCAGGTACAAGTCGCTGTGCCCGGAGACGTGGCCTAACTGGAACGGAAAGCTCTCTGACGGCGTTTCCACGCTGGTCAAACACCTGGGCTACAAGCCTGAGGAGTATAAACTGGGCAGGTGAGCTGCTGCCGCCGACTCCTCAGAAAGGAGAGCCGCTATTGGCTGTCCCAAAGATCCCCTAATGATGTCATCATCGAATTAGACAGATCTGATCCATATCTGTTTGTTTTTATTTAACAAAATGGTTAAAAGTTAACTAAAGTTTTTATTGATATTTTCCCTGAACCCAAACTGATCGTTTATAGAGGCTGAATGTGAATCGGTCACAGAGGATAAAGATTATCTGCTTTATAACCCAGGTTTGAATCAGTGGCGGCTAAACTGGTGCAGTGTGGAGTTGCTATGGCAACAGACGTGTTTAGTAAAAAGCGCCAGCCGCTTTAATCTGCTTTGTGCATATTTTAGTCAGATTTCCAAAAAAAAGTTTTAAATAAGAAGACGTTTCTCTTCCATCCAGGAAGATTTTTCAATCCAAAATGTCAGAAATAGCGTTTAGTTCCAGGTTTTATCCAGCAGATAAACATGCAAATAGAAACGGATGAACGGGTCCCCCCCTTTGGAACGGGGGTCGTTTGGATGCCCCATACCTGTCTATGTCTCTGAAAGGGGGGGCGTTAAAGAGAACAAGGCTTTGTTGGGCTACTGCATGGGGCTTCAACAGGGGTCTGCGACCCCTAGGGGTCCACAGAGGTACTGCATGGGGGTCGCAAAAGTTTAGGTTGACTAGACATTTTTTTATATCCCTCCTGCTATTTTTCCCACTAATTGAAATGTCTTTAAATCCACATGAACATGAATCCAACAGACTGTAGTAAACAGATAAATGGAGGCAGAAGATGTCTTTCAGTCATCAATGCTCACATTCAGAGACACACAGGAGCTCTTTCAATCTGGGCACCGTTTCATTCACAACACCTGTCCCATCAACCAGGAAGCAGAAATACTTTAATAATACTTTACTTACATTACTCCATCTGTACACAATTTCATAAAATATATATATATAATTAGGGGGTCCCTGCTCCATCCCGCCATCAGTTTGGGCTCCTTGGCCTGGAAAACGTTGAAGACTCCTGGGCTGCTGGATAAAACCTGGAACTAAACGCTATTTCTGACACTTTGAATAGAAAAATCTTCCTGGATGGAAGAGAAACGTCTTCAGACTTGGAAACAAAGTCCAGAGGATTTTTTTAACTTTTTAGGAACGACTCTGACCTGGATGACTGAGAATCTTCACCATTATTTAGTAGATTATTAATAAAATGCTGGATTCTGCCTCCAGATCCAAGATCTTCATCCGCTTCCCAAAGACTTTGTTCGCCACTGAAGAAGCGCTGGAGAGCAGAAAGCACGGCCTTGGTAGGAGTCAGCCCGTCGTCTCACCAGAGGGAAGGAAACCTTCAGCTCCTGATTGATTCTGTCGTCTGTTTCCCACCTACAGCCACCAAGCTCCAGGCGGGATGGAAGGGCTACCGGCAGAGGACCAAATACCAGAAGCTACGCAGCTCAGGTGAGGTTACTATGGTAACCACGGCAGGCAGGCAGCAGTTTGACAGGAACGCCTTCAATCGTTTGTTTTGTGTCCCAACCAGCCATCGTCATCCAGGCGTGGTGGCGAGGCATCCTGGCGCGGAGGAAGGCGGACCGCAGGAGACAGGCAGCTTACACCATCCGCAGGTCTGAGGCGGCGAATCATCGTCATCAGATCAGCCGCTTTTATTTCCGAAGCGTCTGACGCCTTCTTCTCCTCAGGTTCATCAAAGGCTTCATCTACCGCCACAAGGAGCGCTGTCCGGAGAACGAGTACTTCCTGGACTACGTGCGCTACGCCTTCCTCATGAAGCTGCACAGGAACCTTCCCAAGAACGTCCTGGATAAGAGCTGGCCGGCGCCCCCTGCTGCTCTGGCTGAGGTACCGATCGCACGCGTTCAGAGATCAACAGAAACAAAATATCACAGCGAAATTAAATGATTACGCCTTTAGCTTCTTTATTTGAATTTAACAAAAATAAGAATAAATACTGAATTAAATATTCTGGGCTGGAGGAGATTTAATGATTCATTTAAAAGAAAGAGGCTCTTTATCTTATTGGTATAATTCCAACATTTTCGATTCGTTTTACTTAATATTTCACAATAAAAGCCCGGTCACCATTTATTCCAACCCTTCGGACGTCAGCTGGGGCCGCCGGGCTTTAGGGGTTCATCTAGATGATGATGGTTGATTCATTTAAAAAAATGTTGAATCTCTGGAGTTCTGCAGAATCAGACCCAGTCTGTGGTTCTATTGGTCCAAAATGAAAGGTTTTAGGGGAGTGAAAGCTTTTGCTCTGTGGTAATAAGCCGTCTGTGTCTGCAGGCGTCGGAGCTGTTGCGTAAGATGTGCATGCAGAACATGGTGTGGAGCTACTGCAAGAAGATGAACCCTGAGTGGAAACACCAGGTGAGGAGCGCGGCGGCGCCTCGCCGCTCTCACTCTTCCTCTGCAGCTCGCTGCATTCGCTTCACCAACAGCTGTGCTTTAACAGATGGAGCAGAAAATGGTCGCCAGCGAGATCTTCAAGGACAAGAAGGACAACTACCCTCAGAGCGTCCCCAAGCTGTTCGTCGGCACCAGGCTCAGTAAGCATCAACGTTCAGAGGCGACTGAACGGCGGTTGTCCTGTCGGTCTGAAATAATCCAACCTTTTCTGTTCCCGCTCAGACGGCGAGGACATCAACCCCAAAGCCATCCAGGCGCTGGGCTCTGAGAAGATGAAGGTGAGTGAAGCCCTGATCTCTGCGGGCGTTCTGCTGCGGCGGGCTGCTGATGCTCCTCCTCTCTACCGCAGTACGCCGTGCCGGTCACCAAGTACGACAGGAAGGGCTACAAGCCTCGGTCCCGGCAGCTGCTGCTCACCGCCGACAGCGCCGTCATCGTGGAGGAGGGAAAACTCAAGCAGCGCATCGACTACGGCAGCCTGAAAGGTCCAGATTCACAAACATGGGAATGCGGATCGTTCTGCTCACAGTTTGGCCTCTGACTCACCTCAAGCCGCTCCGCCATCTTTGTTCTCTGCAGGCATCTCGGTCAGCTCCCTGAGCGACGGGCTCTTCGTTCTGCACGTGCCCAGTGAGGACAACAAGCAGAAGGTGAGAGCAAAGCTTCCTGATGATGATGATGATGATGATGATGAAGGTGATGATGATGATGATGATGATGATGATCCTCTCTGCTCCCAGGGCGACGTGGTTCTGCAGAGCGAACACGTCATCGAGACCCTGACCAAGATCGCCATCTGTGCTGACAAAATCAACAGCATCAACATCAACCAGGGCAGGTGAGGGCCACTACCTCCACTACCTGGGGCCCCTCTGGGGTCTAATCTGGGCCACTTCCGGGGGGGGGCACTTCCTGAGGCCCCTCAGGGGTCTAACCTGGGCCACTTCCTGGGGC